GCAAGAGAATCATGAGTTGGAGGCCTGCTGAAAACCAGTGCAGCTCTTGATGGACCAGCCGTGCCTTGCCCCCACACAGGTAACCAATTTCCAGCTTCAGCCACTCCCTACAGAGGCCAGCCTGAGCTGCACAGCAAGACCCTGCCCCAAAAACCTAAATGATAAAGTGTACAATTTTTTAAAAGTCCAATCATATTACTTGTAATTGAGAGAAACTAAAAGTAACTTAAATGTCCAATAGTAGAAATCAAGTTCAATATACTATGGTGCACCCTTTTTTTTTTTTTTTTCCTAAAACTTGTGTACTGATTGAAAACATGGGTGACTTTTAAGTTATAAAGCCAAGTGAGGGTTGGGGCTATAGCTCAATGGTAGGATGTGAGGCTAGCATGCGTAAGATCCTGAGTTCAATTTCCCTCAACCAAACCAAACTACAATAACAGCAAAAAGAGCTAAGTTGATAATATTAACTTGTAATGCTACGCCAACAAAAACATGTTTATGGACGATTAAAATACATCTTATTGGATTGGTGAAATGGCTCAGTGGTAGAGCTTTTACTTTGCATGCACAAGGTCCTGGGTTCAATCCCTAGCAACACACACACACACACACACACACACACACACACACCCTCTGTTTACCAATCAAATATGCAAACCTAGAAGAACTGACAACATTGACATCAGAATTTCTGGTTTTAGTGGGCCGGGGAGATGGCTCAGTGGAATAAGCGCTCCCCTGGCAAGTGCAAGGGCCTGAGTTCAATCCCCAGTTCCGCCAAAAAAAGGGAATTTCTGCTTTTAAAAAAGGGAGCTATGGGGCCAGGGAGATAGCTCAGTAGAATAAGCACTTGCCTGGTAAGCGCAAGGTCCTGAATTCAATCTCTGGTACTGTAAAAAAGAAAAGGGGGGGAGCTATGCACAAAATAGAAATATATACCTGTACCTATTAGTGTGCCAGTAATAATTCACAACTGGTTGAAACAAAACATGTACTTCTGTTCTTTTTATTTTTAGTTTAGTTTAGTTTTTTTGATCTCTCCATTTTAATTCACCATTTTGTCTGTTTTAACTTCAATATCCTACTCAGGGGCCAAGTTAGCACCTAAGTGACACATACTTGACAGATGGGTGCTCCTGGTGTGGTCAGATCCTTCCTAAATCTCACAGTCCTGTTTGGGAGGGTGGCATGGCTGGGCTGGGCGGAGAGCTCAGAGCTCAGAGATTCTGCACGTCAGGCCCTGTCCTCCAGGCTGCACTGCACCTTCCTGGACAGCTTCAGCACGGGGGAATCACACCTGGTCTCCTGTGCTTCTGCTCAGAGCCCATCCCAAGGGTGGAGAAAATGGTGAGCGAAGGTAACTTTTGCTTTGAAACATGTTGCCTGCCACCTGCTAGCACCCTCTCTTTATCTAGGATACATCTTCCCTCAGGAGCTCATAGGCAAACAGCTTGCTTGCAATGCCAGGAGAAAATCAACCAAACCTAGTGCTGCAGCACTAGGGAAATTACCCTGCAGGGAAATTGGAAGAAAAACTGGTAAAGATTTAGAGAAAAAATATAACACCTAGGAGAACAAGTCTATAGGGTGGTTATAGCAGGAAACGCCCCAGCCAGTGTATTTCAATTGCCCCATCATAGTTCTGTTCCTTCTCTTAGAGCCAGCTGGTCACTGTGTGCATCACACAGCTCTTTCCACAGAGCTGTATGATGCATACAGTATAAACCGATCCCCAGTTTACAGGCCAATCTGCCTCTGTACCTCCTGCTTGCTTATCCCATGTATGCCCTAGACCACCAGAGACCAGGGCCTGACATTCTGAGGGACAATTGATTCCCTGTCTATGCCCATGTACATAAATCTGCGTCCAAATATTGGGTGTCATTCCTGTTTTATTTTGGCCAATGACCCTCTTAGGACCTCTAATGAGATCTGAAATCACACCTTCAAGAAGGACCAAGAAAGCCAGCCCTCAACCATGGAAGATGGGAATGAAACTTGAAGCAACAGGAGGACCCTTATCTGACGTGCCCTGCAGCTAGTGGCAGGCAAAGGGCAGGAAGTTCCTATCATATTTGCCAGCTAAGTTGAAGATCTGGACTATTGCTGCAAGTGTCATTTTCTGGACATTTTCCCAGTGGTTACTGTCACTGTACAACTGCCTTCTAATCACAGGAAATACTGTTCCCCTTACAAGTATTACAGAGAAAGCACAATGGACTCCATCCCGCAGAACGCAGTGCTTGATGGGGCTCTACAGGCAGCGCGGACATGACCAGGACCACAGCGCAGGAGATCAGGCTAGCAACTCCACCCTACAGACTGAACTTCCCAGAAGGATAAGTCTTGAAAATGCTTCCCTGTTCAGGGCTGCCCAACTCTGATCTGCCCTGGACTGGCAAGGACAATACCTCCCAGCTGGACGGGTCTTGGAATTCTCCACAGAGGAAGACATGGTCGCTGCCTCCTCTTGAGGGGAAAATTCTGTCCATATCCTGTGCACGGACAGCTGCTGCCCTCCCACTGCTCCTTCTATTCCTTTTAAGTTGTTTGGTAGAGCAAATATAGTCTAGGAAATAAATAAAAAATATTCTAGGCCAGTAACAGCAAACCTTTTAGAGACCAAGTGCCAAACTACAACCTAAAACCCACTTATTTATCAAACAAAGAACTAAGACTCAAGTGCCAACAATGCAATTGACCTGAATGTTGAGGTTTTAGTTTGAAAAAAACCCCAAAACATCTCATACATTAACATCTTTTGTTTTAAAAGAAAAACATAATAACACGTGTGCCATATAGGCTCACCATCACTGTGCTTGGAAAATGGTGGCTTTCAGAAACTAAGATTGAGTTTGCTATTACAAAACATCTAAAATCCAAACAGACAGAAAGATAAGCCTAAGGAGTGAGACTGAGGTGTGTGTATGTGATTTTGAATCTACATATTTGTCAAAGAACCATTGGGTAGAAGCTGGAAATGGTACACAAGAATTATCTCAGTGATCATAAATGAATCAGTCCCCACATGCCAGGAACTATGTCTTGTGGTTTGTTTTTTTTTTTTTTTTTTTTTTGTTTTGTTTTGTTTTGTTTTTAACAATAGCTTCTAATTTTATATCACATAATCTAATTTCACATACTTACCCAAGGTCACTAGCTTACAGAAACAAAAGAACTAAGACTCAAATCCATGCTGTTTGATGCCAAAAATTACTCCCCTGGCAGCAACACCCTGTATTAAGCAAGGTTGACTGGATTGATTTCTGAGGCTTTCCTTTGGAAACAGTGTATGTATCAGGATCTCACTCCACTGCAAGTAACAAATCCTGATGATGAATGTCTTGAACACTGAAGGGATTACAATAAGGCTAAAGGTAAGCAGTTTAGAGTGGGTGCTACTCTTTCTTCTCTCTGGCACACTGTCCCTTGGCCTAAGATACTCCTTCCCTTCCAGCCTCAAGAAGAAGAAAAGGGACTCAGCTTCAAGAAAGCTAAAGCTAGCCCAACGTTCCTGCGTGTATTTCATTGGTCAGAATTATGTCATGTGACCTTTGCCTTTACATTTCATTGGCCAGAATCATTCCCTGTATCGCTCCAGCAAGGCCTCTGGAAAGGTGAGGAGAGGCATATGGTTTGCATATGGTTGACTCCTTGAAGGAAACCTAAGTTCTTTTAGAAGAAGAGGGCAGTTAGTAGTGTCTACCACATAAACACTATCTGAGAGGTTAGAGATGTGGCAAAAGGAACAGATACTGAGAAGAATCATACTTTTCTAGGGGCTTATTTCTCCTCCATTCTTTGTTGCAAAATTCACAGTAGATGAAGTTTGCAACAAAGGAGACAGGGAAATAGTCTTTGTTCCAAGAAGCCTTGTGCTCAACTTCAGTCCTATTAGTATAGAGGAGCAATGAAGGGTCTGCTACATCCCTCCTTCAGCTCCTGAGATAGAATTCCCCTAGGAAGGAGGATTCTCCTGTGGAGCAGAGGTCTGAGGGCTGCTGCTGATACAGGCTTTGGGACTGGAGGGGCACTAGGATTAAGGATGTGAGCGCAACCTTCCCTAAATAGTCTGGATAAATGGGGCAGAAAGACTAAAACAGCTCCGGGGGTGGGGGTGAAGCACAGCTCAGGGCCCCTAGCAAGCCACGCTGTCATATTTCTGACTGCTTCCCTGGGAGCATTAAGGAGTTCCTGGTAATGCCAGTCCTGATTTTCTGGAAGGTTAAAATAACAGCTCAACTCATACCCCTTGTGCAAGGTTCTGCTTCCAGACCAGGAGGAAATTGTGCCTTACAAGTTTTAGGTGTTCAACAAAGATTTTGGCTTTTATTTTATTTATTTTTTATTTTTTTATTTTTTTGCGGAACCAGGGATTGAACTCAGGCACTTGCACTTGCCAGGCAAGTGCTTATTCTACTGAGCTATCACCACAGCCCCCCAACAAATATTTGTTGAGACACAAAATGTTAGCAGTCTGGGCAAACACACACACAACTGATGCAATGTAAGTGTTATTTGCAGATTTTTATTTTAAAAAAAAGAATTCACAGTGCATCGTCTGAGGCTGCTTAGTGGTATACAAGTTTGAAGTTCATGGGGTTTATAGCCTCATCTATAGACAAATGGCAAAAGTTGAAATTTACAAAACTAGTTAGGGAATAAGAGGGCTTCCTCCTGCCTGTTGGGAACTCGGGAAGCTCCTTGGCTTGGCTGAGTCCTCAAGGTCTTGCACAAGGAAGGGAGTCTCACTAAGGACCCACACCTGGTCCCTTTCCACCCGGTAGAGACATTACCTGCATTACCCCTGCAGCACCCTTCACTGCCCCACCAGCAGGGGGTGGCCTCGGCCCATTCGCCTCCAGGAGCCCAGAAGGGGCGGGAGCACACAGACTGCCGCGGCCGACACCCACTTTTCCAGGTCTGGAGCCGGCTGATCCGCGCAGGCAGGATCTGGGTCCCGGAGTCACCTGGGGCTGGCGGTGCGAGGGCCTCGCCGGTGTTCTTGCCGGGTCTGGGCCGGGTGGGGCCTCTGCGACGCGGACGCGGGGCGCGAGCTCCGACTGCAGGTGTGGGCGGCTTCCGGACGCCGGCTTCGGCCCGCGGCCTGCGGTGGACGGCGTCCCTTTCGCGGCTTCTCGGGTGGGCGCAGCTGGGCTCGGGCGTCCCTCGGTTCCGGGAGCACGGCCGGCCGGCGAGCCTGCCTGCCTGCCTCGGCGAGGTGCGGAGGGTTTGGGGCCAGGATGGGGAGGGGAGGGGTGGTGCGCGGTCCCCCGGGCCGCGGTCCCGAGGCGAAGCGGGTGGCGCCGCCTCCCCTCCCGGGCGGCTCGCGCGGTCCCCGGCCCGGGGTCGAGCTTTGCCGTTTGTGTCCCGAGGAGGGAGCGGCGGGCGGTCCCAGAAAGCAGCCCGGCTGACTCCGAATTCCCTCTCGCCACGCCGGGCCCGCCCTGGGGAGCTCAGCTGACTCCCCTTTCTGGACGTGCAGGTGGCCCCGAAGGGAGAAGCAGCCCCAGAGCCCGAGGAGCCGGAGGAGCGCCGCAGCCGCGTCCCGGACAGCCCGCCCCGCAGAGGGTGTAAGTGACTGCTCGGCTCTCCTCCGCTTTGTTCTCTGGGTGCCTTGTACTTTGATACATTCGTATATGGAACTTTCTTCACTCCTGTAGTGTCCGCAGAATGGTCACTGGAAATGTCATCGGGGATCAGCCGGGGTCCTGTGGGAATCGTAGGAACGAGGAACTTGGGACTTAGAAGCGATTTCGGGCGTAATGTGCAGCACAACTTGTGGACCCGGATTGGATCCTGATCTGATGAACATTTTAAGAAAATTGAGACAGTGGAGATTTGTGCTTGTTATTTGACGTCTACTGGCTTGATTTTCTTTGTAATGGCATTATGATTGTGGTTTTTAATAACCCTTATCCTTTAGAATTCTTGGCTGAAGTTGAAACATAGGTTGGAGATTTGCCCGATTTCGAAGTGTGCTACTGACTGCAATGGGGAGAATTAGATGAGAGTAGATGGGCTCTGAGCTATTAAAGCTGGATGATGGGTGTGGAACCTCTACACTTTCCTCTTTTTGTATGTGTTCGGCATTTCGCTTTAAAAGAGGCACTACTCCCCAGTCCCCAGGTACATTCTGCTCTGCGTTTGATTCTATTTTTTTTTCTCTTGTTTAATTTAATTTAATTTTTATTTTTTAATAGATTGCAAATTGAAAATAAATTATTTACAATTCTAAATACAAGGCTGTGCACAGATCCTTAATCTTTGTAAACTAGTTTCAAGCCACTCCTTCAGTAGCGAGTTTTCTTTCTCTCCCTCCTGGGGGTGCCGATTTCTCTAGCTCGAAAGGCACAGGGTGTTTACTGAGGGCGCCCAAGCTGAGTGGATCGAGTTGATGCAGGTGGATGCTGGGTCAGCTCTTTCACACAAAGGGTATTAGCAGCGCTGGGGATTGTGGAGAGTTAAAAAGCGTTAGCGCTTTTTCTCAGTTGCCCAAATCCCTTCCAGGTTACGCTCATCAACAAACAGGCCAGGGTAGTGAGCACAAGTGACAATTCTGGAAGCACCATATGTGTCAGAAAGCACACATACAGTACGTGTGCACACACAGTATGTTTGTGTCAGCACTGTATGTGTTAGCTGTGTGGGTTCACCTAAAACCAAAACCCAAGATGAGTAGCGATGTTATTTGAAAGAGAGCTTTCTTTTGTGTTGCTTTTTTCATGTCTTTACCAGTTTGCTGTAGGGATTGCACCATGCCAATATTAGAGAACTGACTCCTGAAAATTCTGCATAGTGTTAATGTCCTTATTTTCCTGTGCAGGAACCCTGCTTTGTCGGGATGGAGGTGTGTGGGGTGTAACGTCTATATGTTCAACTAATTTGCCCCTATTTTCCCCCTTGGGAATTATCTTTTAAGTCTTACTCATCCTGCCATGCTGGGTTAGTAATCTGTAGAAATATTGTTTCTTTTAAGGGAGTTATTGAAGTTCAGTAATGGAGGCATATTCCTGAAAGATGAATCCGTTGGTTGTAGTAAATTCAGTGTAGCTGAATTTAATACCTCATCAGTGTACAGAGGAAACAAGACAAATAGTACAGGTGAAAAGTTAAGGGTTAGGTGAATCCCTTCAGCCTAGACCTTGCCCTTAGAGATTCACTAGTGTAAAAGAAGTTGTAAAGATGCTTTACGATTCAGCTGAGGGATGCTCTAAAGAACGTTCTAGCCTCACTGTAATGTGTGGAACAAGAAGAGAACCTACAAATATCCTCTTGCAGTTGGAAAGTATCATAGTGAGTTTGTGATGGCACTTTAGTGAATTGTTTATGGTTGATTCCTTTGTCTGATAAAAGAAGTATGCATCTGTGAAGGGACTTAATTTTCTACCTCAGCTTCCTCTCAAGTTCGAACATGGAAAGAATGTAGAAAGAGAAAATTCGCCAGGCTCTTAAGTGACCAGTGATCTAATGTTGTTTATTCTTTTCTCTAGAGAATGGTGGAATTGGGCTCTGGAGAGTTGACTGCTAATAGCCGTTTTTAAGGACTTACTTCAAATGTATCATCTCACCACTTCTTGCTATTGAAGGGGGATGAACACATTAGAAAAGCAAAGTGCTCCTTTGGTGGCCTTGACTTGAAAGGGTGCTGGCAGTTGAGCCAACACTGTGCTACCCTGGTAAGCAGTTCGGTATTATCTGTTTCAACTCGCCCCACCCTGACATGGTGCCGCAGTGGTGGTGTGACTTTGGCTTACCACAGGTGAGAAATGGAAATGAAGGCGGCTGAGACCTAAGTTGTTTCTTCAAGGTTCCAGTGGAAGGAAACTTAATGCTTTGTATTAGGAGTTCCTGGTATTCCTCAGACACTTGTTTTTAATTCTCCTGAATATAATTGGGTGCCACAGCTCATTTTGCAAATGCTAATTATGGCTTAGAAAAGTTACTAGTGTGCCTGAGGTTTGGAGCTACAAAAAGTAGAGCCAGTCCCAGTTACTTGGGATACTGACTCAAAAGAATGATAAATTCAGGGCCAGGCTGGGCATCTTAGCAAGACCCTGTCTTAAGGAAGAAGAAAAAGAAGAAGAAGAAAAAAAAAAGTCAGAGTCAGACCTACCTTTGTGGAGCTTGAGGTCTGTGCTCCAGCTGCTGTTAGTGGCCAGCAGAGCAGCTGCCCAAGAGCCCGGAAGTTAGTATTTTTACCACACCCTGTCCCCTGGTGACACAGAGGCCCGGGCCACGTCCAGCTGAGCTCCTTTATCAGACCAGCACAGAGTTAAAAAGGGAAAAAAAGAAGAAAAGCAAGCAAACCTTGAGCTGCCATGAAAGCTGGGAGATGGCAAGTGTTCTTTGCTGGGATTCCCGAAGGTGGGGCTGGAGAAGCCTCCTTCAGGGGAGGGCAGTGCATTTTAGTGCCACTGCTGCTCTCTCAAGTGTCCTCTGAGATTGCACTTTTGTTTCTCTTACTGTAAGAAATCTGTGTTACTATTCAAAATGGGATGACCAAAGATATAGTGACAAGCCCTTATCCTCTGAGGAAATAAAAAGGCTGTGTGTGTTCTACAGTCCTTCTGTCAGAAGAATGAACACGAGTGACATTGTCATTTTTTCCTCATGTTCTGCCTGCTTTTCTCATATACACAGGACTTTAGATTTGCTGACCTTGCAGTTAAAAAAAAACCAAAGGACCACATGTGTGGGCAGGTCTCGACAGGGGAGGAATGCCTCCAAAATCACATGCTGTGAATGCTTTGTGAGAGGAAAGATGAGGCTGGTGCACCTTGGGGTTCCCCAAAGCCCTCTGTCTTTAAGCACTGCGATTCAGGAAGCCAAATAGAAGCTGAGGTTGAGCTTGACCTTGGGAGCAGTTTTGAGTTGGATCCCAGCCAGTGGGAGAGTCTCCCAGTACTTGCGAAGTTTCCTTCTCACCCTTCTCTGCCCATCGCACTTCTGCAGTTGACAGGTCTGCGCTCACGCAAGGCAGAGCCCATCAGCAAGCTTTACAGGGGAAGGAACCTAGACACCCTGGAGTCTGGCCTTCCCGGTGTTTCTGTAATGCCAGGGTTAATTTCCTCTTTTTAAAACTTTAAAATGTCATGGGACAGAGTGCTCAGCTCTGTCCCTACCTGGAGTTTCATCACAGCTCAGCTTCTGCTAGAATCTTTTCGCAAGTCCTGAGGGTTCACAGCCCTTTGTGTGCGTATTGTGTGGAGGAAGAATGAACACCCTGTGGGATGGTCTTGAGGAAAAGCCAGGTGCTACTTTCAGACCTCTGTTGCTGACCTCTGAGATGATATTAATGTGCCCTAACGAATCAAGAAAAAACAAGGGCAGCAACTGGAACCCTTGGTGTAGTGGATTGCTAACTGGTGGTCAACTTGTTACAGCCAGCAGAATTGAACTAGCACGGTGCTGGGTGCTGGGTGCTGGGTGCTGGGTGCTGGGTGCTGGGTGTTGGGTGTTGGTGCTGGCTGGGAGGCCCACCTGAGGATTGTTGCCAACAGCCTAAAAGGCAGAGCTGGAGAAGCTGTCAATAGGCTGTTGGGGAAGCTGTTTGGAGAAGCTGTTGCAGCTGGTGGAAGCTGCTGGTTCTCTTGGGCTGTTCTGCTGAGGGACCTCATCATGGTGGCTGTCCTGATGAATTTGACTGTTCTTGTCAGGGGAGGAGCTCAGGACTTTTGCTGTCAGTGAGAATGGCTACGGTTCATTTGGGGGAGCTCTGGTCCTCATCTCGAGCATCACTTCCTGGCTCCAGGGGAAGGTGGTGCACTGCTCAGGCTCCCAGAAAAGCTTCGCATGCTGGCTTTCCTGATGGGAAGTCCCGTTTTCCTCCTCACTGGAGGAGCTCAGGCCCTCACTATTGCTGAGGATGGCTGAGGTACTTTGGCAGGGGGTCGGGGGGACCTCTAGTGCTTACCTTGAGCATTGCTGCCTGGCTCCTCATCCTGCTGGCACAGACTTTCTTGCTTCCACCACTGACCTAGCCTTTGCAGCACAGATTCGTGAAGTAGGACTTCATGAGACATTGTCATGGGCTCTAGGCCTCCAGTTGGATTTGTAGGAGGCATTGTTATGTGTGCTAGGTCTTCAGCTGGACTCATGCAGGACACTACTGTGGGATCCAGGCCCTCAGCTGGATTCTTTGGTCTTTAGTGTGTGGACAGATTTTCTGCACTCTTGTACGTGATTCACTGGGTGATTCATTATAAAATAATATTTTCAAATGTATCCTGTATTGTATCGTTCCCCTTGAAAAACCCCCCAAACCATGACTCCTGGCTTTGGCTGAAAGAAGTTAAATTGAGAGGCAGAGGTGTTTTGTAAATGCGAGACCAGTGGTTGATTGGATCCTTTCAGAAGAGCTTGGGACTTCACAGCTGTGCTCCCTAGAATGGCTGACACTTCCCTAGCAAGGACAAGTGGGTGATTGCATATTCTCTAGAGCAAACAAAAGTAAAGGCAAATCAGTCCTCAGTGTGGATTTAGCCAGATTGCTAGGATTGATTTCTGGTTCTTTTGCCACCTGTGTGATCTTGGCCTATTTTTATAACCCCTGCAGGTCATTTCCTCTCTAGTATTGCTTGCATCCTAGAGCTATTAAGATAACAGAGTTTCTTATAGGGCCTTCAGGGAATAAGGTTTCTCTGTGAGTCAGCTCCTTTTGTTGTTGTTAGTGGAGCCTGCCTCCCTATCACTTTATTAAGGGGAATCCCCACTCTATCATGTGGCCAGAATAAGAGGACAGGGAACAAACTCTTTGCAGTTCTCCACTCTGCTTACCGAATGAGCTGTGGGCTCCCACATGGGCTTTGGGAGGTGTTCTTCTCCATGAACACTAACAAATTATTTGGTGTGGCAGCAACTTTTGAATTGATAAAAGCTGGGCTTTGGCTTTGAACTACAGCTTTGTCTATGTTGTTTAGGGATTAAAATCCTCTCTGACTGTGAAAGCAGATAGAATCCCCTGGTGCTTCATGTGGCTGAAACTTCTCCCTGGTGGGGAAGAGCAATCTGGTGTCAGCAGGGGCACAAGCCCCTCACCGGCATGCATGCCATTGCCTGGCAGAGGGCAGGGTGATCCTCTGGGCATCCAGAGCCTCTGTGCCAGTTGCGAATAAGCACAGGAATATCATGAGGGGCTGAATCCTGACACTGGCACAGTGAAGAATTGGGTCTGATTTTCCCCTTTGTGCTAACTAATCTATATATACTATCAGGTTTACTTTATAACTGGAAAAGTACTACTGGTGCCATTAATTGACTAACACCTGCACTTTCAAGATTTAATACATTTTATAGTTTTTAAAAGGGCTGTACAACTTGATATTCAACACACCCAGCTATAAGCCCATCATGGATTAATCCAGTATCACACACCCATAATCCAGTGTCACACACCTATGATGCTGTCACCTCCCCCAAACCCCACCTTTAAGTGTGCAAGGCTTTGAGGAGACATCCAGGTATAAACCACACGAGACAACATAAAAAATAAATGCACACCCATATGCCCACCAATAGGGAGAGCCATTGTTGGGGTCACCTGGCACCTGCCCTGCAGGATGTGTGCCATCTACAGCCTTGCTTTGTGGACCTGGAAGTTTGTTAGAACTGCAGACTCTCAGTCCACCTTGATATATAGAACCAGAATCTGAGTTTTAATCCATCCATTCTGAATCACATCCACATTCAAGTTTGGGCAGTATTGGGAAGGGGGCTATAGCCCTACCAGTCACGTGTGGCCTGGCATTAACGACTTCATCTAGGTATATGCATAACATTGTTCCCCTTTACCCCACGTGGGGTTGCTACTGGATGCACCACTGGTTTTCAGTCAAGGGTAAGCAGCTTCCCTCAGTGACCCTGATTCAGGGATTAGTATAGTCTGGAGGCTAAGGGAATTCCATCACATCTACCGCAAAAAGCCCTGCTGCACAGGGCTTTATGTTGTTGCTGCCATAGAGAATGGTATTTGGCAGCATTTTCCTGTTCTTTATTAGAGTTTGTCTCCCTTGTCTGCAGGTAGGCCATCATTTGAGTCATTCTCTATTTTTTCTTCTTAACTTTATATCTTTCTTTTTAATTTTTTTAAAATTTTATTGAGAAAGAAATAGCAATGAGACAGTTTCAAAACAGGTTAGTAGGACAGTTACAATAATACATTGCATATTGTTGTCTTCGTAATAGTTATTCATAGTACAAGATGCAGACATGATATCCTGTCCAAACGCTATTTGTACAAATCTCTTCTCATTGAATTAAGAGAAAGTAGCTGTATATCTATCTGAACTATTTTGTATATACAGATACAAAATGGTCCTTCATTTATATCTCCCTTTTTTGTTTAGTTTTGTCAGAGAAGTGTATTCCATTGTCATTTAAATATTGTAGGTATGTGAATTCAGCAAAATAACCTAATGTAGTCCAGTAGTCCATAATAGTAGTGGGTTATCTGCATGACTGGCAATGTCAGAAGTTGTTGACTTGAGCCTTTTACAGCTCAGCATATTAATATGGCTTTTTATACCTTATTTTTATACTTTTCTGCTGGATGGCTAAGACCAAGATAAAGCAAGACTTATATAACAAGACATGTAGCTTTTGTATGTGACAAGGTCAGTCAAATCCCCTCAGGATTTACCCTGAAACCCTGTACCATAGTCTGTGGATCCTTTGTCAG